CGGCCGGCCGGTGGGCGCGATGAGCCAGGTGCTGGGGAAGACGCAGCCACAGGACGAGGACGACGAGGAGGAAGAGGAGGAGGATGAACTGGTGGGGCTAGCGGACTACGGGGACGGGCCCGACTCCTCGGACGCCGATCCGGACAGTGGGAACGAGGAGGGAGGTGAGCGCTCGGCCCCTGGCCCCGCGAGTCCTCAGCTCGCGCCCCTTTCCTTTCTCTCGGTGTCTCTCCGGCCCCGGCCGGGCCAGGCGCGCGGGCCGCCGACTTGGAGGGGATCCAGGGGATCGGACTTAGAGGGTGGAGGGGAGGGGCTATAGAGGAGCGACCTGGAGCAGCAAAATGGGGGATCCCGGTGCTGGAGGCGGAGGGGAGACCGTGATCGATGGGGAAGCGGGAAGGAGGAAGCGTCTGGCCAGGAGGATCGCGCGCTTTCTGGCCCCTTTCGGGGCTGGTGCCTCTCCCCTCCTCCCCCTAGAGCTCTCCGCAGGGTCCCGGGATTGGGAAAGGGGAGGATCGCCGGCGCTCCCTGGGACTTCTCCCTGAACGCTGCTGTTTAAGCGGAGGTCAGATGTCGTGGCTAAAAAAAGGCAGCCGGCGGCAGCGTGACTGGCAGGGTCGTCTGCAGCTGCGGGTGTCAGTCTTGTCCCGCGTTGCCACGGGAGGGGTCCTGGGGCTTCAATGTGGGTGCACCCTCGGGGCGGTTGCTGGGCGGGGGGGATGCTCACTACGGGAATCGCCGAGCGGTCGCGGGTTTCCCAGGATCCAGGCAAATACAGTTGTTAGGACACCTTATCTGCGCTCAGTGTCACCAGCTGGGCATGGCAGTGCTTGCCTGGGAGTGAGCGCGGGGCGAGGGCATTCTTTGCCCCTGAAGCAAACTATTTCCTGTTCAAGAAGCAGGTTGTAGCTATCCTTCAGCCTGTAGAGACTTCTTGTATTTTATTTTTTAAGATCTAAGGACGTTGAGCGCTTTTTAGGATTCCCGAAAGAACAATCTAAAAATTTCCTCAAAAGCAAGCAAAAGATTCTGTGTTGTAAGGTCACTTGGAAAGGTCAGTAGAACAAGGCTGTTAAACATAACATTATTCTTGGTGAAGCTGTATGTATCTTAGAGAAGGAATTAACTTCTTTAATCCTTCATACTGAAGAAATTGGGCAAGGGATAAAAGTACCTTTGTGGCTTGATATTTTTAGAACTTTTATCGAGAATTCACTTATTTTAAATTCTCTGTACAAAGTCTTTCTCTGAGGACAGTTTTGATTATTCTACATACAGTAGACAGTACCTTCAATGAATCAGAAAAAAGTAAACTTTAGCCTTGAGCCTGGCAGATGAGAAAACAGCTTTCCAAGTCACCTTTTTTTTCTTTTTCCCTCCCTACCATCTTCTCTCCTGGGAGGATTTGTGCTAATTCCCAGTTTGCTTAAACTGGTGTGTGCACCTGTGTACTTCCCTCTAATGCATTCCCACTAATTGGTCCCACAGTTGATCTCCAGGCCACATTTTTGTAGATAAAGAAAGGCTTTGCACCCTTTCTATGGAGTCTCTGGGGCTACCTTTTGTAATTAAATTGTTCAGCTGCTTCATTATTATTCAAATTGCATTTGTTAGCTCCTCCCAGATTCTTTGGAGATTCTGGAGAGGCAGAATGGGGATATATTTGCAAGGTATTTGAAATGGTAGGTGCACCAGGGGGTGCATGTGTGATATGCTTAAAAAACAGAAGAAAAGTCAGCAATGTAATATTGTCCCTTGGAGGTGGGGTGGGGGTTGGGGCAGATAACATTCCTGGAAAAGCCCAGGACCTGTTTGTTTATTCTTTAAGGGAGAACTTTTAAAATTTTGATGTTGGGACTTGAAGTTAAAGTGAAATTAAAACCATGCCCGAAAGGTAAGATTCCCTGAACAATGGCTTTTCCAGATCCTGGAGTTGGAGACTTTCCTTGCTGCTAACCTAAAGGCAAACTTGCCTGTAGCTGATGTTTTGATGACTTGGGTAATAAAACTTCCCATGTGAGTTCTTAGGATCATCCTGGAATCTTGCTAAAAAAGTATTGAATATATTAATTTAGTGAGAAGAGCAGTTCATTAACATTTTCCCTGGTAAATATTACTCAAATCTGGCCTCTTTCCACCTGGGCCTGATGTAGGTAGGTGGTCTGCATCTCAGATTTCCTTTGTTATCTTTGGCCCAAGTTCTTTCCAGGTTTCCTTAGCTCTGATTTGGAGATACAGATCTTAGAGCAGAATCTCTATCAGCACATTTGTTTTCTACAGTAGCAGATAGGCTCCAGTCTGCAATTCCAGCTAGGACTGGCCCTGATGATTGTCATGCCAACTGATATGGTCCCAGGGAGTAGAGAAGCCAGGAGTTTGGCTTCCCTCCCTGTGTCCTTCAGAAGTTTGTTTGATGTGTTGCATTATAATCCTGTTTTTTTTTTTTTTGGGTAAAATTCATACTTACCTGCTCTCAAACTTAAGAAATGGAATATAAAAAACAGGGACTTATTTATTCTGAGTAAAGATGGATATGATGCGCTTTGAACTCAAGCAAAGCATTTTTGTAGTGAATTCTTCTCCCTTCTCCATCCTAAGAGACTTGGTTTAGTGCCTGTTCTTAGTGGAGACCTTGGACTTTTCCCATGAGGTTCAGAAACTTAACCCTGGCAAATGGTATCCTAGGAGGGTGATGCATGACCCACAAGCATCACTAGTTAGTTGCAAGGCAATTTGTCAGGAACTGTGCAAGACATGTGGACTGAGGTGGATAATGCAATTTTCATTTCCCTCAATCTGTGAGGCTTATAAAGGAATCTCTGATTTCATGTTTAAAGCAGCACCTTGTGAGTTTTACCACATTGTGCATTGAAAATGTAGTGCAGCTAAGGTGAGACTTAAATTGCACTTCTCTGGCTTCCACCCTATATTTTATTCATGAATAGCAGGAGTGTTCTCAGGCACTTTATTTCTGTTGGGGACAGATTTAGGCACTTCTTAGTCTTTTTTTTTTTTTTTTTTCATTGTAATTAATCACAGATAAGGTGAGTCTTACCTTTAACCTCTGCAGTCCAGATAAATCTTCAGAAAGGGGGCAATGATGAAGCCATTAAAAACAATTCCTGGGGCTGGGGATGTGGCTCAAGCGGTAGCGCGCTCGCCTGGCATGCGTGCGGCCCGGGTTCGATCCTCAGCACCACATACCAACAAAGATGCTGTGTCCGCCGAGAACTAAAAAAAAAAAATTAAAAAATACATATTAAAAATTCTCTCTCTCTCTCTCTCTCTCTCCCCCCTCTCTCACTCTCTCTTTAAAAAAAAAAAAAACAAAACAATTGTTTAGGGGCTGGACGTGTAGCTCAGTCCTGCCCCTAAGCAACCCTTCTTCCAGAACAACCCCACAATTTGCGTCATAATTAATTATTATTTTAGAACCATGGACTGTAAATTTTAGAAAATTATTGTGCTTTAAAAGTTGTAATAACAAGGAAAGGAATTAAAAGATCATATTAAATGTGTGCCAGGTTCTAGGTTTCATTCTCACTACCAAGTACAATAAAATATTTAATCAGAAAGTGAAATTGGTTTTCCCCTCAAAGACCTTCCCAATTTTTAGGGGAAACTTGGTTAAGACATCTGCCCACCACAGTCTACCTAAGTTTGGCCTATTTTTTCACAGCAACCTGCACACCTGCTTAGAATCTGAGAAAGCAACAGTTTGGTTGTTACTGGAAGCATGAAGATCCAGGGTTAGCAGGTGATTCTTCCTGAAAGTGTGTACATAATGTGAATCCATCATTTCCCAACTATTAATCACTTTTTTCCCTTAACTTCTTTTTTTTTTTTGGGTTCTGGGGATTGAACCCAGGGCCTCCTGAGTGCTAGGCAAGTACTCTACCACTGAGCTAAATCCCCAACTCTATCTTTTTATCTAATTTTAAAAATTATATGATTTTTCTTCCCATCATTCCTTGAAAGTTGAGATAATCATTCTTCTGATACTAAAACCATGACTCAAGAGATGTCAAGGAAACTTTTCTGAGACCACTTCATAAGCTACAAGTACTTGAGTTTTATAAGAGGGTCAAGAGCTGGAGATATAGCTTACTGGTAGAGCAAGGGCCTAGGATTGATCCCCAGGACTGCACCCCCGCAAGAAAAATGCTTAGAGAAGAGTCAACTATGTGAAAATGTAAGCCCCTTTCCTTGAAATTCCGTTTTGTTCCAAAAGAGCTGGGTTCACCAGGTAAGGGGTGCACGCCTGTAACCCCAGTGATGCAGGAGGATGACAAGTTTCAGGCTAGTCTCAGCAACTTAATGAAATCCTGTTTCAGAATAAAAAATGAAAAGGACTGGGAATGTAGCTCAACGATAAATACTCCTGGGTTTGTAATGCCAGATTCCTGGGACCCCAGTAGACCCCCAGGAGCCGAATCCGATGCAATCACACAGAAGTCTTTATTGCAGGCTCGAGCCTGGACTCATAACCATTCCCAACGCAGCAGTCCCAGGGAGTGAGTCCTAGTCCTTTGTTCAGTGAGATTTTATAGGTTTGGGGGAATACTCTATGCGTCATGTCACAACATCACACAGCAAATCATTTTATAACTTTGGGAAAATCAAACAACAACTCATAACATTGATTAGCACATTCACTCGTGGGAACAAGTTGGGTAAGGGTGATTGGTTAGTTCAAGTGGTGGATATATTTGAACTGATTGGTTTAGGCCCTGAGAGGTTGCAAGACTGCAGGGTGGCCTAACCATGTTATCAATCACTGAAGCTACTGGGAGGGTCACCAGGCTTTTCAGATATTTTCCCTGTCTCACGCTGATTGGTGGTTGATAGGGGGTTGCTATGGGTCCTCACCTAGTGTAACCGAGTTAGGGACACCTGGCGCCCCAGATCCCTCCTGTTAAACAACTCAGCAGGGTGGGTATGTGCCTAGGAGCGTTCTGTGGGTTTCTCCAAGGACAAGGATCATGCCCCGCTCCCACTGGACAGGCCTTGAGGTAGAAGCTGTTTTCAAAAATGGAGTCACATCAGTTTCTCAGGTTCAATCCTTTGTGCCCTAAACAACTTACTTTGGTAACATCTTTGAAAATTGGAGCAACATAGAGATTAACTTGAACCTTGTGTACAGGTGGCCTGCAAATTCCATGTATTCCATATTTTTAAAAAATAATTTTAGTTGTAAACGTGCACAATACCTTTATTTTGTTTATTTAGTTTTTTTGTGTGGTATTGGAGGTCAAACCCAGTGCCTCATGTATACTAGGCAAGCACTCTATCACTGAGCCACAACCCCAGCCCAGGTATTCCATATTTTAAAAAGAAAATTTAAATGATGCTACCAAAGTCACACCTTAGTTAAGTGCTTCCTCTAATACCTATATAGAGAAAGCATCATCTTAAATTAGATGTTTTATAAACATAGTGATCATCACCAGTGATTTAGAGTATCAGAGAAACTTGACTCTACTTTTCTTAGAAATCTCTCCCAATTTAATATTAAAACAGACATAATATAGACTAAGGGAAAGTCCTGGAGTTCTGGGTAAGAAATGGCTTCAAGTCTGAAAGAGCATCTTGTCTGTCAAAGATAATTATGTGTCAACCTGAGTTCACCTTCTGCTTTATTCCATTTTCCCCGATTCCATAGCAAATCCAGACAATTTTGCTCCCTACCATAGCCACCTATTTCCTGCTCACTTTTTTCTTTCTTCTCTACCTCCTATATTCTTTTTATATCTTTTACCTTTTTAAGAAAGTTTTTTTATCCTCCCTCCTCTGCCAAAGCCTTAAAGCTCTCTGGTGACAGTGGCTCTACCTAGTTCTGGTTCACACTTAAATAGACTTTTCACTCCTGGCCTAAAGTGTTCAGGTTGCTAGTTGACTTTCTCCTTCTGCAAACCTCTTGACAAACTGCAGATCCATTTCTCAGTGTGTAAAAGAGAGGACTGGATAAAAGCAACCTTGAGTCTTAAGAACACTTTCCCCTATTTGCAGGAAGGAGCATTGGTAAGGCAGAACACATCAGAAATGTCATCAAATGCGCATGTTAAGGAAATACCTATGTATGGTATCATGTGTTTGGGTTGCCTACCAGTGTGATTTTGAGAGGATTTTGTAGAGAAAGATTTGATCTTCACCTTCATGCCTTTGAAAAATATGTGTTGTTTTCATTTAATGTGCCTTATTAAGTAGTTTATCAAATGGACAGGGAATCTTCAGGATTTCTGTATATCCTCTTCTTTGTAGTGCTATTATTATCCATAGAATTCATTCCCTTTTGGATTGGGATTTCTTCAAGAACTCCTAGGTCTTGAATATGTAAGTAGTTCCATTGATCAGCCTACCTCCAGAAATGTAAAGGAGCCACAGATAATGTAAATAGAAAGTAACTAGAAGCCTCTTCCTTTTAAGTATGCAGATCCCTAAGCCTTTATTGACCCTATTAGAATTGCTATTAGAATACTAATAGCAAAGGCATTCTAACTTCCCCTTAAAGTTGAGCGAGCCTCTCAAGCTTCTGGCTGTAGTCACATTCCACAAAGGACCTTCTTGTTGCCTGGGCTTGGGCTGGGAAGAAAAAGGGGAAAAAATGTGGGTGTGTGTATACTGACAGAGCCTGGCCGAGGAGGAAATTAAGACTCAGGGGCACATGTGTGGTGTCACATGCAGCTAGTAAGTGGCAGAACGGGGACTTGGACCCGATCTGACGTTAACCCAGGACTTTTTAGCCATTCTGTTTGCCATCACTTTGCTACCACCTTATCCTAATTCTTTCATTAAACCTTTGTCTTATTTTTCTGTCTGGAGTCTATTCAAAGTTGTCACCTCTCAGAGAACTTTTCTTAATTAATAAGCTGTCAGTTGTAATGTGCCAGAAATTATGAAGTTCATTTCACACAATACCTCATTCTCCCCAGAGCGACCCCTTAGACTCAGGAAGACAGGGTCTCTTCCCTGCTAAGTCTGTACGGAGAAGCACATTGGCCTTCAATTCCTGTTTTTTTCTGATTTCTGGTTACTTCTTTATTGTGAGCATTCCCAGCCCACAGATCAGCTGGGCACAGTCCCCAGGCGGCCCTGTTGTTCATTCAAGGTGCTAGTTCATCTTTCCTTTCCTTCTCTACTTACAAGTCCTGTTTTTTTTTTTTTAATTTTTTTTTTTTGTCAGATTCTACTGGCTACTGGATAATTCCAGATTAAGTAATTAGTCAGCAGATGTTAAAGACTGATAATGGTCCAGTGAGGTGACCATTGCTTTTCTTCGGGAGATTTGAGTATCCCTAGGGTCTTCAGCAGTCTTGTTCCACACCTGGGGTAGTGGAAAAATTTAGGTACTGTCAGGACCGCATGGAAGATAGATGCTCCATACTTCTGACCTTAGCAGATACTAAAGCATACCTAGGCATAAAGCTGACCCATCTGACCAGTTTCAAGTGTTGATGTGAGCCAAAGTCAGACGTGAGTTTCTTTTTAAAGCTTTGGTTAATTTAACTTTAAGTTCTGTTCAGGCACTTTTATTTAATTGACCTAACCAATAAATGTCTGCTGAGTGTTTATTGTAGGAAGCTCTGAATTCTCAATTTGTTTTGTTTTTACAATAATTTTAATTGTACTTAGCTACAAACTATTTACAAAATACAAACAGTAGTAATCTATACTTTGTGGTACACAGTCTATTGGATCCAAATTCATTTTTATCTCTCTATCTACTTATGTATTTTGTGGTACTAGAGATTGAACCCAAGGGTGCTATACCACTCAGCTATATCCCTGGCCCTTTTTATTTTTAATTTTGATACAGAGGATCACTAAGTCGTCCAGGCTGGTCTTGAATTTGTGATCCTCCTGTCTTAGCCTCCTGAGTTACTAGGATTACATGCATATACTATCATGCCTGGCTATATCCACATTTTAGACTAAAGGAAAAAATGTTCCTCCCTTTTAAATTTTATTATTTTTTCTCTTGCCACATTTTTATTGGTGCATTATAGTTATTTATAATGATGAGATTTGTTGTTACATATTTGTACATGCTCACAATATAACAATATAGTTCGGCCAATACTGCTCCTCAGAACCTCCTCACCTGGTCTCTTTCCTCTACTGATCTTCCTTGGATTTTCATGAGATCCACCCTCACACCTCTCTTCATTTTTCCTCTCTAGCTTCCACATACGGGAGAAAACACAGGATCTCTGACCTTCTGAGTTTGGCTTATTTCACTTAACAGAATGGCCTCTAGTTCCATCCACTTTTCTGCAAATGACATAATTTCATTTTTCTTTATGGCTGAATAAAATTCCATTGTGTATTTATACCACATTTCCTTTATCCATTCATCCATTGATGGACACCTAGGCCAGTTCCATAGTTTGGCTCTTGTGAATTGTGCTGCTATAAACTTGGTTACACATGTCTTGCTATAGTCCTATGACTTTAATTCTTTAGGATAAATACTGACGAGTGCTATAACTGGGTCACATGAGGTTCCGGGTCTAGTCTTTTGATGAACCTCCATGGTGGTTATACTAATTTAAAGTGTAAAAGTGTACCAAAAAGCCCTCTTTAAAATATATTTTTAGGGTTGGGAGAGCTCAGGGGTAGAACACTTATCTAATATGCATGAGGCCCTGGGTTTGCTAAAAAATAAAGAAATATGGTATTAAAAATTTACAGAAAAGAGAGCCAGGCATGCCTATAATCCCAGCAACTCAGGAAACTGAGGCAGAAGGTTTACAAGTTCAATGCCTGCCTAAGCAACTTAGTGAGACCCTCAGCAACTCAGCAAGACTCTTTGTCTCAAAAATAAAAATATAAATGGGGGTGGGGTGGTACTGGAGACATAATTCAGTGGTATAGCACCCTTGGGTTTAATCTTCAGTGCCAAAAAAATAAATAAATA